GCTTTTGTTAAATAGTTTTCCCGTTTCTACCAACCCTGGGGTAGTCCTTGGAGTATCTTTTGACAAGCTCGTTGATTCTTCTGCTCTCGGGTAGGCTTTTCATTTTGTTGGCCAATGACCAACAATAATCTTCTTGCATCATCTGCTTAATGCACAACTTGATGCACAACTGATTACGCCTTGCACAATCCTTTTCGCAAACATAATAAGCATCTAAAGTACAATGATTTTTCTTAACTGCTCCCAACTAAAGTCTCTTTCCTCTCCATTAAAAGCTTCTCTTTGGTCACATTAAACATTATTTACATTAAAATGTATAACTTTCTTTTCCATCGTTGTTGATCCCTAATTAATTAGAGGCCCTAATTGATTTAAAATGTGTCAGAGCAAGGACTATAAAGCTTAAAATTATCTGCCACGAAGTACGTGGGACTTTCCCACATGTCCGGCATTTTTAATTCATGTTTGGTTTTATAAAATAGCCTGCGGTTATTAGTACTTAGTTGCTTTTAAAACGAATTTCCGTACATAGCTTATAAACGCATTTGTTTGTTGGCAGCAGTCAAAAACATAATGCGAGTATCAAGCTGCAAATTGTGGTATCAGAGAATAAGCTTTAGAACTCAAATTCAACTTGAGTCGTGGGTCACTTTGGCAAGTCTTGAAGTGGCTGGAAGCATTTGCTATCTCTCGTTACCATGGTTTTGCATAAAAGCTAATTCGTATAATTGACTAAGCATGTTTGTAAAACTTTTTAATAAGCACAAACTTTCTAAGCTTTATTTCAAATTGGTTTTAAGTATTCGAAAGTTGAACAAAAAACGAAAACATTTCCATTCAAGTACGTAAGTGATTATGCATTCAGTTTCCATTCCCCCGCCCCAATTGCCATTGCCTCCGGCCATCAGTGCCTATTAGTGCTTCAAAATGTCCAAATCGGCTTTTTTGGTTTTCGCATGAGAACTGTGCAATTAATTCGACTGCAGAATATTCACATTTAATTTGAAGTTTTCATTTTTAGGCGCTCAATAATGTGTTCAGTGTGTGTGTCAGGTTGATGGAGCATAGTCCCACCATGTACAACAACAAAGCTGCGTTAATGCACATACGTGTATATGCAAACACTTATACACAAATGCGATACACATACATACACATGCATACATATGTACATATGTATGTATATGTATACAGGTTCGTCGCCAAACCCGAATAAACAATTTTAATAATTTCATTTTATGAAAATTGCGCTCGGGTTAAATGATTCGAGAAGAATGCGAGGAAACAAAACTCGTAACGTTTTATGTTTTGAGCAGCTCCCACGTGTTGACGCTGCTGTTCCTGCTGCTGCTGCTGCTGCTGCTGATGATGATGATCATGATGGTGATGATGTTGAGGGGTGAAGGGCTGGCAGTATGGGGGTCTGTGATGATGGCGTTTGATGGCAGCGGTGCCCACGACCTGTTCGCCTGCTGCATTGTTCCTGCTATTGCCATTTGCTCAGCCATTTCCATGTAATTTATTTAGGCGTTAAGGGCAAAGAATACACAACACACACTCTCACTCACACTCACACACACACACACACTTACAGGCGCACACTTAAACGCACACCCAGGGGAGCGCACATGTGACAAACAAAATTTCACAATTTTGCTTGTTTGTGTCGCGTTCAAATGTCAAGGGCGTGCTTTTCAATCATTTTGAAAGCACGGTCCGTGTAGCTCATGTCTGTATTAAAATTTGGCTTTCTATCCACCCCCCACCCCCCACCGCACCCACATTCCACATTCCACTCAACATAGTCGCACACACACACATATATATGTACGTATGTATTCATAGAAGACAAAACTTAGAGACTTCTTAGATTTTTAGCCAAAATCTAATCAGCAAACCGCGTTGCGGCAACTTGCTGTGGCTTGTTGCTCCAAATCTCTTTTAAATGAGCCACTAATTGCAAACTGTAAGATAATACACGCACAGACTGCCCAACAGCAGTCACATACTGCTCCCCCTGGCATCCCCAATCCCTTCGTCCCTTAAAGGGAAACGCTACGTATTTACTATCTAATCAGGAGGCGCGCTTTGTTCCAAAACAGACAGACCATGAGGGCAGGAAAATTCTACAGCTAAGGAGCAATTATCGTTGATAGGAAAAAAGGAACTAGAAAGAAGGAAAAAAAAGATGGATAAGCTTTTATAGATAATCCGAAGATTAAATACACTTTAAAAGGGTCTGCGTTTTCATTTTTGATAGGATCAAAAGCCATTGTGTGTTTGTTTTAGAAAAAATTACTGTACGTACAATTGTAAATTAATCTGAAACATCGGTGAGTTTTAAAAGCTACTTAAAGGTTATTTGATTAATGAAATATCACTAGTTAAGCTCATTAAACAAATATAAAAAAACATATAATTTTCATTATTGAAAATAAAATAGTTGCTTTTTTATTTAAATGAACTTTCGAAATTAACTCTCCTCCGTATTAAATAAAATAACAAATGCGGAAAAATGTAAGCAATAAATACGAATGTTTAAATTTACAAGTATTTTATAAAAACTACAGTTATTTAGAAGCATAAGCCTCATCAGCATGAACCGTTTTTCTATCACAGAGCTTATAGTTTTTTCATTTATACAAGTAAGTACCAGCTTATAAGTAGTAGCATTCTTAATTGAATTTGTACACTACACCCCAAGAATTAAGTAAATAAGAACAAAGATTTGAAAACAAGTGAATGTTAATTTCTTGACGCCAGCATACTAAAACTTTTACATACTTTATATCGCATGTATTATTCGGCATATATAGAAGGAGTGCTTCGCTTATGGGGCTTTATCTGCAGTCATATTTTAGCAGAGGATGGATTTTTCTACAACATGGCTTTTGTTGCCATTTTTTTCCAAACTTAATTAGGTTTCTTTATTCCACTGGGATTATATAGAAGAAGTGCTCCGCTAATGGGGCTTTATCTGCAGTCTTATTTTAGCAGAGGATGGATTTTTCTTATAATCCTGGGAATACTTTGTACATATTTTTGCAACTGAATTCTAGTGGTTCTTATATTGATAAAAATATGAAAATTTCGTTTGCAAAACTAATTTAAAATAAATTAAATTAGGTTCATTTTCTATTATATTCCAACAAGTCTTTTAAACAAAACTCAAAAAGTTCTACGAAAAAATTGACAACAAAAATATTGAAAAATTTATTTTAAATAAGAATTTGTTTGAGAAGAATTGCGATTAGAGTACTTATTAGTTGCTCTAATTGTTAGTCTAAATAATTTATTTACTTGTAATTTAAACACATTTTAATGAAAACATATTTTTTGTATTTGTAAGACATTCAAATTTGTTAAGGACTCTTTGGATTCTTCAAGACGTAATATAGTAGTATAATTTCTTTATTATCTATTTCTACATTTATTTGATTATACATATTGAACAATATATTGCAAAAGTTGTTGATAGTTTGCTGTAACTTTTTTATTATTTTTTGCATTGAGAGGGCAACATTTATCTCTGAATGTTTTGGATCCCTTTTTTGTGATTTACGATGGCTAGCATAATGATCTAATTTCGGATCAGTGAAACGCAGGAGAGACTAAAATTCAGATTAAACAATTGCTTTTCCAATTCGTTCTATAGCCAATATTGTATTTGTTTTGAAAGAGTATCAAATATACGGAAGGGAGTTTTTGCGTTTGTTTTGCGGCAAGTTTGGGGCAACTTTTGGTTTCTGTTTGTGCAGCGCTTTTATCAGTCTGTAAGTTTTTACTGCTGGCTTTGGCTTTGGCTCTGGCTCTAGCTCATTGTTAACTTTTGCGCCACTACCAGTACTAATGGCTATCAGAGATATAAGGCAAAGTTTTATTTTGTAAGCAATGTTGTTAATCTGTGAGTGTTGGAAGAGTTGCGGGCATGCGGGACACACACACGCACGCACGTACGCATTTTTACATAGTTTTAATCAGCAGCATGTATTTTTTTTGTTTTCTTTCAAGGGGCGGCACTGCTGCTCGGCAAGATGGCAGATAGGAGCAACTTTTTCTGCGCTGGATTATGCCTCATATGTACTTTATGCGGCTTTCTTAATGACGAAGTTTGCCATCATATGCGTTGTGGCTTATGTTGCGTAGAGCAAGTAGGAATATACATACATATACTAGTGTCTACCTAGATATACATATGTATGTATGTATGTATATGCATGTGGCTGCGTGTGGTACTTATTATACGTATTACGTATTTTGCGGCGGAAAGTTAAGCCCCTGCTTGGCGAAGCAAATCACAAGCTGCACATTAAATCGCTGGAGCTGAAAAATTGTTACATTTAATTTTATACATGTATATGTGCATATATTTGAAGGGCTCGCTTTGAAGTCAAGCGACAGTTGGTGGCGGCAGCGGTAGCAGCAGCGGCCAGGAGGAGGAGGAGGAGAAGGAGGAGGAGGCAGGCAGGCAGGCACAGCCGGATAGACAGGTAGCTTGTGTATGATGAGATTATTCGAATTACCTTTGCAATCAAATTGACACCACGTAGACAAGCGGACTGATGAGGACAGACATGATTCAGTAACGTAGTCCGTCAGTCAGTGCTTCAGACAGACTGAGACTGGCAGGCCAGCAGGCCAGCAGGCGAGCAGGAAGCGGATAGAGTCAGACGCTAGGCGGCACAGGACGTATGCATGTGCGCTCCAATTGCAGCAGGAACAGCAACAAGCTCACCATGAAGAGCCTTCAAAGAGGACAGCATGGGCAACGCCCACTCTTATTGAGAGCATACTCTATCCAAGCCAATGGTGTATCAGGCAAATCCATGTCCATACGGTCCATATAGACACAGTTTACATTATTTACACAAGAAATTTCAATTCAAATGAAATTTTCACTAATGCAAAAACACTCTACATGAGCCGAAAGCAAGCAAGCAAGCAAGCAAGCACACCAAGCAGCCTGTTAATTAAAAGCCACACAGATTTGAGTGCCAGTGCACATACTATAGCACAAAGTATTTCGATTTGCTGTCGACAAAATCTGAACAAAAAAAACGAAAAAAAAAAAACCAGCATAAATTCACCAGAGATACATAAAACGAGAGGCAAGAAGATGGCAAACAACTTATACAATTGGAGTGATTTGGATGTGGGAAACATGGATGTAGATCATTCAGAGAACTTTTTTTCCAAGCACCATTCAAAACATGAAGCAAACATGTTGTTGGATGAGATTTACATGAGCGGCATCGAAGCGTTCTATGATAAGGACCTGCCAATGCAGCAGCAGCTCCAACAGGAACAACAACGTAAGTTGTCGCTTGAGGTACATCATCGCAAGATAATTGTGGAGAACGCAGAGAAACATGCGGCTGCCTTGTCCAACAAATTGGTCAAGGCCACAGATGCAAACTGGGCCAAAGCGCCAAAAAAGACAACTGAAGAGCCAGCACCGAATGCTTATCGCTTTAAGGTGAGCAAGTTCCAGATGAACATCTTAGTAATATTGTTAAGTGATATTTATAGGGAATTGTATTTATTATTGTATTTGTACCGGGTGGAAATTATTTCTCTGCGAATTCATGTTCAAAATGGATCAACTCCTGTCTATTTTTAAATAATCAGGGTCTTCACGAATTCGTGCATTGCTTCATTGTAGTTGTATGTTTTAAAAAGCCATAAAGCCGTTATATGTTGCGAATTCGAATTCGTTCCTATTTCCTGAATTAAATATTTAAATTTTTGAAATGTTAACAATGATTATCAGGTGGGCTACATACAAAAATTACGGGTTGGGTTGTTTTTAAATCACTCAAAAAGCCACAAAAAGCTTATATTTTTTTGAACATCCGGTCTAAGCCAACCATTAGCAGCAGCTGCCTATCCATGAAATAATGTAATAGACTCGATAGGGTTGTCAACTCACCAAACTAAATCCGGCAGTTCCGTATTTTCAAATTAATTTTTCATTTCTTGAGAATTGCTGGATTATTTTTGACAACTTAAAAATGAATTTAAAAAAAATAAAAATTAAATAACTAGTTAAAAAATTTAACCTCATTATTTTTCATCCAGCTATGCAATGCATATGGCAGGACGGACATACAATTATCCCCAAGTTAGTTAAATGAAAACTATTGTGTATAGTATATGTAAATTAAGAACTATTTCAAATATAGGTTTTATTTTTAACCTTCCTTTAATTCATAAAATAAGATACAACTCAGCTTAATATAAAGTTCGAAATATTTAACCAAGTAAGCAATTTTATTCGTTCGTTAATTGTTGCTGTTGTTTTTTTTTTTTGGGCGTTTCAACTGCAGATTTAGTAATTAACTTAAATAATTTAATGATATACAACGACGAATATAAAAATATTTCTGATGCAGATTGTTGAGAAAAATAATTAAGTTTATATTGGCAGTGGTTCTAACCGAATCTTTAGTCAAAAACTAAGAGAAACCTACTAAATAATGTTTCTATGGCACTGAGTATTGACATTCGGTTGGAAGAGTTTTCTGTGGTATATTAAAAAGTTGCAGTCCTTAAAAAGCAAAGCAGCTAATTTGTATAATGGGGAATAAATCAAACAACGCGAGCTCCCGAAACACAACGTCATTTCCTTCCCTCCTTTCCCCAATGTTTTTATTTTCTAACGATTTATGTGTTTGTAAACATCTTTGCATATTCCTTCTCGTAGGACATCTATGAGCAGAAGAAGCAGGATTTGTTGCGAAAGTGCATAGAGCAGGAGCGTGAAATGCGCGAGTTTCGCAGTCGCCCCATGCCAAATTTTCAGTTGGTGCACCAGCATCAGCATCAGCACCAGGCGGCAAAACAAACGGTGCATCGTGTTACATGTCCCGTTACACCAAATGTGCTGAAAACTTCGCGCGCCATGGAGCTGAAGCGCCAACAGAAGGTGGAGGAGGCGTTGCGTCAACGAGAACAAGAGGAGCTCAACTTACACAAGATGCGGCCCAAGGCAAGGCCCGTACCGAAGTCAACCAACGCTCTATTAAAGGGGCAGGGGCGTCAGAAGTCGGCAACGTCCTTACAATCGCAATTGGAAATCAAGCCCTTTAAGCTGCGCACGGAGCAGCGCGCTCAGCAACGCAAACTGTTCAATGCCTTGGCCGAGAATACCTTGGAGCAGAAGCGGCAGCAGGTGGAGGAGCAGCGTCAGCGACGTGAATGGGCGGAATATCAAAAGCGTCGTCAGTTGGCCACATTTCGTGCTCGCCCGAATCCATTTAATGAGGTGTCCTGGAGCCTGCCGCGCCGCACTCGCAACTGATCCGAATATATAGTATACTTGTATGTTGCAGCAGTAATTTATTTTTGGCTTCAATATTTTCTCTAGCCTTATTTATTGTTTTGCCATTTTGACAAATTGTGTTTAAATTTGGTTTTACGTGTAAATTATTTATAGTTATTGTTGTTTAGCCATTGTTTATTGTTGTTTACTTAAACAAATTAAATTTCCTTAACCAGCAGTTTATATGCATATACTTGTATTGTATACTATACGAGTATGTATGTATGTGTTTTTGAAAGGCTGGTCGAGTGTTTGCGCTATTTGTTTGGTTATAGGTGGGCAGGAAATTGGATTTAACGCAACTCGCATGGAAAACATTTTTTTGCACGATTGTGTGTAAAAATAAAAAGCTTTTCTGTGTTAACTAAATTTTTTAGCAGTCCATTTTTAAATGTATATATGTTTGTAGCTAACGAAGCGAAAGGGAATGAATATACATACATATGTACATACGTACTGTTTTCAAATAATACATTACTCATACGACCTGTTGTGTTAAATGAAACATGATGTTATTAACACTATAAAGTATAAAGCTATATTTATATAATAATTATATACATTGTTTTGAACTCGAAAGCTTGTCAAATTAATTACAATTTCAAAGATGTATTATTGTGGGCGTTGTTTTTTTGTTCAACAAGAGAAAAGTCAGCATAAAAGTTCCACAATTAACAATATATATAAAACAGACGTTATAAACATTTTACATCTAATTTAAGGTGGAGTGCAACAAAGTTAGTGGCGACATTAATGCACTAATCTAACAGATAAGCCAGTTGTCTGGAAGGCGCCTGGCTAGTCTTCTGCCATAAGTTGTACCAGTCGGTAGAATGAGTGACTGAGAACCTGTTAGCTTCTCTTATAAGTGACAAAATTATTTTTGAAGAATTTATAAGATCTAGGGCTCTATAAAATATATAAATATACATATCTTTATCCAAAGGGTAAGAGCGTTTTGAAATGTTTCGTCATGCAAAGGAAAAAATTGAATGGGATTGTGAAACTGGTCGGTGGGGGAAGGAACATGCAATATGCAATAGATCTTAAGGTTGCTGTTTTCGGATTATTATTTTTTTATTTTATAAAAATTTGTACTATATATTATTAACCAGTGCACTGCTTCCTGTGTCAAAATTAACATAAAAAATTAATTAAAAGCCAAAATTAAACCGATTTAAAAACTAGGGTAAAACATAATTAATATTTGAAAATAATAAAACGAAGGTTCTTGATTATTGCAAAGAAAAGATCTGAAATTCACAAACAGTCACTAGATTGAAACAACTCTCTATACAAAGTTTCGAAAGAAGAAGCGGGGCTGCTGTTAGTGTGGAAATGTGGAATAAATAAATTTTTCAATGAAAATAAATTAAAATCAAATTAAAATTCTGAGCCGAAATGTCAGTAGAATTGTTTAGAATAATTGCTGCTGTTAAATATGAAATATGAAAAATATGTTGGTCTATCTTTTATTAACCATTGTACTGCTATGTAATGTAAGATAAATAAATATAATTATATGGCAATATAAATATTATTTTCCGTCGTAGGAGGAATAATTTAAAAACATTTCGTATAAAAGTATTCAGCCAGTCTTATTAGATTACATTATTTTAAAACAATGTCATCAAAAATCAGTAATACCTTGCCGAAATGAACATGAAAAATTGATTAAAAGCCAAAATTAAACTAAACTAAACTAAAATTTAAAAATTATTGCAAAGAAATGATCAGAAATTCACAAACAGTCGCTAGATTGAAACAGAGTCTCTATACGAAGTATCGAAATAAGAAGCGGGACTGCTGTTAGGGCGGAAATGTGAAATAAATAAACTTTTGAATTCAAATAAAGGGTACATTTCTGAGTCGAAATGTCAGTAGAATTGTTTTGAATTTTTTGAGGTGCTTTTCTCAAATATATTATATGTTGCTCTATTGAGCTTTAGTAGATCCTTAGAAATCTACACGAAGCACGGACAAATCTAAATTTTGAAAACTGAAACTCGATGCTCGCTTCTCGTGTGTGTACATAAAAATTCAATTTGTTCATTTAAAATGGCGAAGGTCTGTGCTCCATCAATCAAATACACCGCACCCAATTCACGTGTGTGTGTGTGTGTGTGTGTGTGTGTGTCTGTGTGTGTGTGAGAAGCAATACAAACAATTTGTTGTAAGTGTATCAATTGATGCGCACGTGTTTGTGTATTTGTGCATGCGAGTGTGTTTCGGGGGTGGCGAAAGGGGCGATGTGTGGATGGGAAGGAGTGTGGTATGCCCGTGGACGTTACATAATCAAAAGCACAAATACTAAAACAAGCACTCAAACTGTCAAAGCGATGATTGATAGTGTTGACATTCGCTTTTTGGCTTCAATACAGCAAACACCGGAGACTGACTTTTTGTGCATTGAAATGCTGCTAATAGGATGTGGGCTATACAAAGCCTTCTCACGATTGCCGTACTTTCTTATGCATGTATGTACATACATATGTATATATTTATATACTTACTTGTATTTACATACACGTCCATATATAAATAAGTGTATGTGCATGATGAATTGCATTGCGTCTGCTTATCGCTGTGAATACTGAAATTTGTATTTATTGCAAATTTGTTAAGGATGCTTAAAGGTGGAAATTCATCATTCAAGTACTTGCTGTCACACTCTACTCACACCCACAACCACTCACACTTCTCCGCTCTCTCCCACCATCACATGGAAAGCTAGAATTTAATGAATTGTCATTTATTTGGTACTGAGTGATGTGGTAACAACTGTAAAGCGATTGCTTGCCATCGCCTCGTAAATGTGTTCTGAAATACAATAGCCTGGAATTTTCCTTTACTGTGGTATAACTGAGCAAGGAGTATTATTATTGAGTATTATACATACACTGATAAAAAAGTTGCATAGTACAGATGAATATTTTCATATTAAATTTAATGTTCTACTATTTCATATTCAAATCAAATAAAAACATCGTAAATTTTACTAAAAACATTTTCAATTAGTGATTTTAATATGAATAATATTCAAAACAAAGTGTAAAACTTTGTTATTAAAGTATGTCATATTCAATTTAATGTTGAACCATATTAAATATTAATATGCACACACTTCAAAAAACCAATAGTTAAATTTACTATATTCCATAGTAAATTATAATATTTTTCTCAATCTTAATTTGAAGTTTTTTTATTAAAGGTTAATTGACTAGATTTCTCAAGTCGGTTTTCAGCGGTTGTGTTGTATAAATACAATGTGAAACCGATTGACATACAGATATGGTCATTAGGTATGTGTCAAGTAAGTGTTATTCAGTCAGCTGCTCCTCACTTTTTATATTAATATTGGTCCAAACTATATCCGTACTAAAAGACATAAAAAAAACAACAAGGCATACAAAAATGGATAAAATATTTTATAATTTTAAAAAATAAACCTTTGGCGTGAATCAAACCCACGTCTCCACATCATCACCTGTGATTTAATATTATTATATTATTTAATATCGTCACACTTTCAATTTAATACTTTTATATTAAATTTAATATTTAAGTGTGCACACTTCATACTTACTAAAACACACGATGGTTCAAAATCGATGTTAAAAATAGTTAAATCTACGTGTAAATATTAAAATTTCCATGCTTTTTTATCACTGTATATAAATCACTAAGAGCAAGACCTTTTGAGCAATACTACATCATAGCTTGTTAGTGTTGCTAGGAAGTATTTTGTAAGTTATATTTATCTTCAACTCTCCACTCTTCATTTCAAACAAATAGTCTATCTCGAATTTAATTAAATTAATTTATTGTAGACCATTCTGTGTTAGAAACTTGCACACATTTTAAAACATCGACTGAACTTCTTTCCGTTGCGCGCCAGGCTTTAGAACTCAATTCTGTAATTAACTTTAATTAATACACTTTTCTGCGTTGACTGGATTTAATCCTAAAGCGCATTGCAGGTTCCCCTAAACACATTTGTATACAGATATGCATATTTCTAGTACTATAATAGTCCCCTGAGTTCAATATGTCGATGTAAGACATTAAAATAAATATTTAAAATATATTTTCATAAAAAAAGAGCAGCTTAGCGTGTAGACATTTCTCGTGCAAAAGAGTCTAATCCCAACGCAACGAGTTACTAGCGCTAGAGGACGACACGCATTTATTCGCTATTTAGTTATTGAAGTACACAAATCCGCGATATTGATATCTGAAGGACAATTAATGAACATTTTATAATGTTGTAATTTTTTTGTGATTATTTTTTTTACAACTTTTGACGTAATTTATTCTAACAAGAGTACGTTGCTGATCTTAAGCTGGTACAATGAATTCAGAACGGGTGACGAATCACGCTTTACACATGAGCTCGAAATAAGAAAACAATTAAACATATAGGTCCTCCAAGACGAGCCAAAACCAACATGAACTTTTGACGTTAGAAGCTGTTTCCAGACCTGACTCTGTATTAAATTACGTTTCGCAAGACGTAAGTGTCTTACCGAACCCTTTGTGTTATTTTGCCAATGCTGTGGCAATTCATTAAATGATTAACTGTAGCACGCAGGATTTAAATTCTGTTTTCCTAATTCAAATGTTTACTTCAGTGTCTCAAAGAAATTTGAGTGAGCGAGAGAGTTTGACGTGCAGTCACTTTATTTGGATAAAGGAGTGTATTTTTGTCGTAAATATTAATGATCAACGATGTTGCCAGAAAGTGTTAATTTTTAACGTCAAATGCAAAGTGAAATTAAAATAAAATCATTAAGCTGAAATGTCGATTCTGCTCCAACTTATTATTTATCATATTTTTGGAGAAACGAAGATCCAATAATTATCCTTTAATACTCAAAACATTAAATAGGTTATCCGCCGGACTTGGCACTGAATAGTTTATTTTATTCCCATATAACAAATTGGGAGACAAACGTTTTTGATACCGGAGGAAACGGTACAAATGCCTAAGTATAGAAAATGATTTTAAAACTAGTTCAATCGAAAGCAAATGCTTATTGAGCTTCATGAGGAATATGTTGTAAGAGTAAAATAGTTTTCGATGAGATTTCTTTGTTTAGTTTTCTATT